TAAGTAATAAACAAGGCTTACCTTCTTTATTGACTGGTGCGGGTGGCAGGAAGCTGGCAGGCATCGTTCTCAAGCGATCGTTCTGCAGTGCCAACATGAACGGCTCTTTTAAGTGCTCTGTTTAAGCAAGATACACATATTTGTGAGCATTTTGACATCTAAATGCCTAAATTGCATTGTTGTGATCTGTAAAGAAATAAAACTGAAATAACTGTGACTGTAAAAAAGGACTCGTATTAGCAATTTGGTCATTTTAAAGTCTAAATCTGATACCTGGTAGTTGTGGATAGATTTTTTCCGTCATGTACCGCATAAGGTCTCGAGGCATCTCTCCTCTGATGTCCACCAGAACCCGAGTTTCATTGGAGGAGATCTGATAGATCAACACTGGACTGGGATTAGCTAGAACCAGCTCTGCGTGGTTGGGCTTGAACTGAGGAGAGTCCTGGAAGAGAACATCATAACACAATCAATCACTGTGTTACACTCTTAAAAATAAAGGTGCTTCACGATGCCATAGAAGAACCTTTTTTGTCTAAATGTTTCCATAAAGAACCTTTAACATCTGAATAACCTTTCTGTTTCACAAAAGGTTCTTTGTGGCGAAAGAAGATTCTTCAGATTATAAAAAGGTAAGAAAGAGATGGTTCTTTATTAAAGAACAATTGACTCTTTGTGGAACCAAAAATGGTTCTTCTATGGCATTGCTGTGAAGAACCTTTTAAGCACCTTTATTTTTAAGAGTGCACTTGGGAATTTTTAACAGAGATATGCAATTGTCACCCTAATATTTACCTTCATTATGCATCCAACAAAATGAGAAGACACTTTAGCTTTCCCAGAAATCAGATTCTTACGGAACTTGGAGAAACATCCGTCAGCAACTACAGTCAGAGGAGCATGGACCTCCTGGGAAAGAGAGAAAGAGTATAATTGCAGCATGGAAAATCTGACTGTCAGAGCAAATCTAAATAACTGAGATCCATATACAATCATAACCAAACTTTTACAAATATTACAACCAAGTATCAGTGTGTCACTACCTTGATTATCCCTGAGTCCTTCTCTCTGTACTGAATTCCTGTCACACAACCATCTTCTTCCTCCAGGCTGGTCACCGTTCCCTCCATGAACTTCACACTGTGCAAATATGACATGATATTAGACCCATCAGTCTCCAAATCCTTCACAAAAGCCCTTACAGAGACACAAGGCCTCAGAAACACCACAAGAGCATCTACCTAAACCAACAGGTGCTGTATATTCTCACCATATATAAGGTCTACAGTCAAACATTTTGGTTACACTTTACTTGAAGGGGTGTGCATAAGACTGACATGACACCTTCATAATCATGACATGACACCTACATAATCATGACATGACACATGTCATGAATATGAAGGTTTTTTATGCATGTTTATGACAAATGTCATTAAGTGTCATTCGCTCAGTTATGTAATTTTTAATGCAAAGATGACATTGTTTGAGATGTCTTTGTTATGGGCTATGGTTAGGGGTAAGGGTAGGGGTAGGGTTAGGTCAAATAATGTCATATTTGCATTAAAAATGACATAACTGAGCGAATGACACTTAATGACAGTTGTCATAAACATGCATAAAAAACCTTCATATTCATGACATGTGTCATGTCATGATTATGTAGGTGTCATGTCATGATTATGTAGGTGTCATGTCATGATTATGTAGGTGTCATGTCATGATTATGAAGGTGTCATGTCAGTCTTATGCACACCCCTTCAAGTACAGTGTTACAAACATTTTCTCTAGCAGTGGTTTCCAAAGTTCAAACACTTTCAAATTCGAATCGGAATTTTTCTGTACCACATAAGTAATGATGAGCATGACATTCGTCATCGGTTTCATTATATTCATTTATTAGTAACTGCATCAGGTATTTACTTGGGCTCAGAGAGAACAGCTCGACGCAGTCCCATGATGAAGCGTCCATGATGGAAAGCACGTCCACCCTGAATGCTGTTCTCCTGCTGGGGATATGGGATCTCCACCTCCGTTCGGCTCTCTAGGTCATGAATTACGTAACCATTCACCACATGGGCATCCAGACCTTCAACAGCATCTGAGAGAAGACGAAAAGAAATGAAAAAAATACTGTGAGTTTGTGGATATAAAATGCAATGCTTAAAAGTGCAATTTAATATATTACAGATCTATGCAATAAAAGCCTGCTTAGTCTATGTATTCGATATTTGAAAATATCTAAAAATATGCGAGGATTTGAACGAAGTTCTCCCACTATCCGATCTGGTTCTTTCATGTCCCTCTCCACCACTGTGACCCTCCGGCCGTCCCGGGCCAGAACGGCAGCCATGGCTGACCCCAGCACACCAGCGCCCACTATGATGACCTCTGGATCCTCTGCCTGACCGGTCTGACTGTCTGTCGCCCTCTTTCGCTTTACATCTCTCTAGTTAGAAAGAGTAAAGACAGAAAAGTGAGTATTATACATTTTTTGTAATCTTTAAGTATAATAGTAATGAAAATAATAATTTTTAACATAATCAAATATAACAATTTGACAGGTTTATTTCGGTGACAGCCAGGTGATCACAAATGAAATAATATTTAATTTTGAAAAAATAATAATAATAATAAAAGACTTATGATTTACATCATGGTTATTATGAATTTGTATGATTTTTTAATGATTTACATCATGGTTATTTTAGTTAACTAAAACTTAAACCATAATAAAACTAATAAAATGACATTGACTAAATGTAAATGTAAATATTTAAGATTGCAAATGAAGGCAGGAAATGAAAAACATTCAAATTAGTACTAAAACAAATTTAAAAGTGTCTCAGTGATACAAACAACACTTAATGAAAAAAGTAACACTGTTTTAGGCTACATATGTTCTCTGTGGGCCTCTTGATGTAGCTTGTATTATAATGTAGTAAATGTACAGGGGTTTTGTGTTAAAATAAAATATTATGTAATAATAATATGTAATATGTTTCTCATTTACCCAACCCAATAAACAAACAAATTAATCTGAGAAAAAAAGATTGCACAATCCAGTTGTTTCGATTTTTTGTAACATAACTCCGAGTAATTAATATATCCAGCACATGAGTGCACCTCGAGCTGGTGCGATGCTTCGAGGTGATGCTGAATAATTTATGATAATGAGGGCGCGGATCCTCTTGCAGTTTGTAGACAGCAGCGTCCCGCCTCCTCTGTTTACAACGAACCAATCAGCTGAGCGTGTTCGGTGAGCAGAGCTCACGCTATCTGGCCATTGGCCGATCCAAGGCTGCTGGTTGGCGAATGGACTGCAGTATGATGTGATGTCACAGAGAGGTTGCGTTTGGCAGATGTTACGAGCGTCTTAAAAGTGCAAGTTGTATTAAAAAGGGCTAAAATACATTTATGCCCATAAATTGGGAAGAAAAAATAGTTACATGCTTTCCCAGGTATAATAAACGCAAATAATGTAATTATTATATAAAATAGTGTTATTTCTACAATCCAATATGAAAAAAATAGGCTAGTTCTACAGGTTTAACTAAAGGCGGAGTTTAGCAATAACAAGTTGAGTGGTGCAGAAATTACATTAAATAAATGATCAAATACATTGATGGTTCCAAATGTCGTTATAGTAGTCTACACGCAGAACAGAACAGTAGACACATTTATTTAGTCTATCTAAAGTAGCCTATTTATTTCTGGCAAAAGCATATATAGTGTCATTTCCATTGTGGTATCAACGAGAAAAACTAACTTAGCATACATAATCTACGCAAGATCACACACTGAGGTAAACAAGGAAGACCAGAAAACTCAGTTCAACTCATGACTAATAAAAACAAATGCCATTATGTAAAATGAGAGCTTATAATGATGAAAAAAAAGAAAACCTTGACCTCACACCATAAAACAAGGGTTTTACAGGTAGGCCTATTTTTTAGTCATGCTTGCAGAGTTGTGTATACATTCTGTTGTATTATCTTTCATTTATGATTATTTAAATGGAGAATACAGCCAATAATATAATCTAAAGAGAATCAACACTGATAATAATACAATTTTAAATAGGCTACAACAAAAACTCTGGACGCATTAACAGTAATAACAGTCATTTAATTTTATCTAAAATGGACTTCAATATCTTTTTTTTTCTTCTTTTTTTTTTAAGGATGAAATGACACGGACGTGTTTTCAAGAAATTTTCACCCTAAAATCTTCACAAACACAGTATTTATTTGAAACTCCTTGCAAAGGACAGTTCCACCCCCGTCAAATGACTGTAATCATGTTTGATGCTGGCCAGCTGTGTTGTGCATCTCAAGCGTCTGTGTGTTTGAATGAGTTTGGCCTTTTCATTTGGTCTTCTTCTCAGTCGAGTGAGTCGTCAAGAAGATGCTCTCACGATCAGAATTACTCACTGACACTGAATGTTCTCTGAGGATGTTTGGAAGCCATAGTAGCTCTGCAGCAGGAGGGACGTTCTTGTGCTGCTCAAATTAATCAGCATAGAAAAAAAACATTCCAAAAATATTTATTACAACATTAAAAAGAGCTAGGCAAATTATTTGACAATTTTTGTATCTGACTTCGTCTTAATATGCAAGCTTCAATTGACCAGTGGCGGCTCGTCGGGGGAGGCAGGGGAGGCACAGCTTCCCCATAATTTTGAGGTGAAAATGGGAGGAGGACGATTTAATGTTAATAAAATTCACAATTCATTTCAGTTCATGTCTTAGAATGTGTATTTTTTGTTTGTAATTTCACAG